TGTAGGAATTCAGGTGAACATAGATAAAACAGAGGTGATGAAAATTCCTGGGCAACACCATCAACAGCAACAACAACAACTGACAACGATCAGCCAGCATAAATGTGAGGAACCTGAAAGAAACAACCTCTTTTACCTACCTGGGAAGCATCGTTTCAACTACAGGCGCACGGAACTGATGAAAATGTCAAAGCAAGGATCGGAAAAGCAAGGCAAGCTTTCATTTCTCTCAAGTCTGTGTGGAGGTCAGCAGCACTCAGCATCAAAAATAACATCCGGATTTTCAACTGTAACGTGAAATCAGTGCTACTATGCGGATCAGAGACTTGGCGCGTCACAAAGAGCACTTCAAACAAACTACAGACCTTCATCAACAGCTGTTGTCGCTCAATACTACTCAAGATCAGATGGCCAGAAAAGATCAGCAACAGATATCTCTGGGAGCAAACCAACTCAGCAGGAACCGATTGTGCAACAAATAGGCAGGAAGAAATGGAGATGGATTGGTTATACTCTAAGGAAGCCATCAAGTGACATCACACGCCAGGCCATCGCTCGAGTGGAACCCGAAAGGGAAGCGGCGAGTTGGTCGTCAGTGCAAGGGTGACTTGGAGGTGGTCAAGGAAAGAGGAGATGAAAACGTGTGGGCAGACTTGGAGCCAGGTGAAGACTCTAGCAGAGAACCGAACTCAATGGAGACGCACGGCTGAAGCCCTATGTTCCTCTAGGAATTAAAGGAGACAATAATAATAATTTTGTCATATGATCCGACAGTATCCGCTCCAAGTTAATCGAAGTATGATACTTAAAAGTTGGCGAAATGCAACTGTTTAGTACCGTGGCAATAAAGAGACAACTTTTGCTATCTGTTTGATGACCCCACCAATATATATTGTACCCTAAGCAGCAAAATTCGCCATCTACAGTTTGAGCAGTATCGTAAGCTATAATATCAAAGAGCATCCGAATGGAAAGGAGATTATTCACAGGGGCTAGAAACTGACAGTCAGATACTCCCAAATTACTGTCTGCAAGAATGTCACTGCCGACATAAAGGGATCATGAATTTTCTGTGGATGCACTGTTATGGGGCCAAATAAGGCTATACATGCGGTTTTTGATACTTTCTCCTGATGGTACTTATCAAATAACTTATGGTTAATAAGAAGATTGCTTCAAAGGTGAGAGATTTTTTGAGGCAACTACAGTGGTCATTGTGAGGACAGCCATCTTCCAAGATATCACAAAACGCAGTTCCACAGCTTTTAGTGCCTCTAGTACACATCGATGGTTAAAGCAGAAAACCTAAGATTTCTAGACTATCTATATGTTGATGCAGAGATGTAATCAAAATTCATGGACGGTGAATGAAACTTGTTGAGATAAGAGAAGGAATTACAGTCAAAAGAGAATACTATAGGTCCACCTGTTTACGAAACTGCCATGTGGAAAACTCTGTTTTGCTTCTACATTCGCATATGAGTGAGGATATAATGGGGGAGGATATTATTTGGAGACAAATTTTCTGAGCTTTGTCAAAAATACTCGAGTAGGTAGAACGGAGGCAGTCAACTGCGGTTTGAATTTCCTCTGGCTGTTGGTCCTATGTGATTTTCTGCCACGTGCTTGAGAGACAGCCGTTGTCATATCAGATGTCACGTTTGGTTGTTGAGCGCTTGTTGTGTCTTAAAACTGTTCGGGTTACCACATTTGACCTATTATGACCTTCTTTCCAAAATCTAATATATTCTGATGAGCTTTTACAAACGTCATGATTTTTTGGCGCTCGCTTCTTTTAGTTTCAGGATAGCTCTGGATCGTGGTGAGATACCAGTAAAATCCATCCACTTGGCAGCCGCATCCTCATTAGATACAAAAAGGAAAATTTGTTTACTTTACGGAGAAAATATGGCGTTTACCTTCATCCGTGTCAACAAATACTCTAGATTAAGCGGAACAATTTAAGAATTAAGAGAATAAAGAAATGCAAGACATTGAAAGCACATGCAAATAAAAGAAGGAATAAATAAAGGCAGTTATGAGAATTACGTTTAAGGAGACGGAACATAATGATGAATTACTCAAAAAGACAGAACATTCGCAGCAGAACGACTCTGCTTCCACCACAAATATGCACAAACTTATAGTTTTTGAAATGCAATCTGACCTTTCTTGAAGCCCTGAAATAAAGGAGATAGTCGCAAAACGAGCAGACAGTAAATTCAACAGGTGGCAGATCCTTTGATTAGGAAATAGTTCCCTGATTTGTAGTTCCTGTGAAATTACCCTGAGGAATTCTAGAATGTTTTTCAGCAAATATTTCACAGATTATGTTCATTGGGCTACGCTTGCACTGAATGTGTGATTATGTAGTAAGTGGAGCTTTTCAGGGGGTTAAGGGTGTGTCGACATACACAGAAAGTATGAGGTATGCAAACACGAGTTCCTATACCAACAACTCACATAGTATCTGTTCTGCACAGACCAAAAAGCAAATTAAAACAATGAAATTACCATCCAGAATACGAAATATGTTTCGGAATCGTAGTGACAGGATGGTTTCTTAACTGCCTAGGGATGGTGAGCGAACGTAACATAACGGCATACCAAATGATGTGGATGCTTGGTCACGAACTTTCAGCTAAACAAGTTAACTAAAACAGTGAAGGTCAGCATCCAGTGTTGTTTGGTGAATGCTGTAGGCTAGTAATTTTTGGGAACTATCTACTGCTACAGGACATACAGACACAGTCTTCGAAGTCTGTGGCCATACGGTGGTGTGTCTTACATAGATAGGAATAAATATATCTTATATTATTTCTGTCTAGTGATGGTTTAATTATCGTCCTGTGAACCTATGAGAGATTTGCGTCTCCTTTAGATGGTGTTGGTTCAATAATTCGATGAACCTGTAAACATAATCCTACGAATGTTTCGGGCAGCTTCATAAAAAATCCCAGTATGTGTCCGTACGGCCTCCTGCACGCAGAATAGGTTGCTCCCATGAATTCGGCTGCATCTACTGCATAATAAGCACTTGTAAATAGTTTACTCCTGAAAAGTAGTTTTGTGTCACGCCTCCTTCATGGAGCAAAATGTTTCCGCATAGCAGTGGGAGAATCATTGTGCAACTGGTATAGGAATGAGTATTGTCTTAGATTTACTACTAATGGGAGCTAGCCGATTTTCTCTGGGCCATTTCTTCAGATCCTTTTGTAACCCAATCGATTTTGCCAGAATTTTCAACGCCCTCTAGATATTGACGTCATCTGCTTAGAGAAGGGCTGAGAAACCTATGTTATTCGGTAACCGTCAATAAAAATCAAAATCCCTTTTTGGCACCCGCAGTGGTAGCGGTCCCCAGTGAAGATCGGATACGGTTCTCCCTCGTATGTAATTCTCTACATCTATTTATGTTCCACTCCAAGACAGCTTGGGGTTGTTGATTGCCTTTTAAGAGTAATCCCATAGTCTTATTTCGTGAGACACCACTTCGAAGGCCTACGCAAGGTCTCAAAACAAGACAGTTACTAGAATATTGTGGTTCCGCAGTGACGTTAGTTTATCCGAAGCTACCAGAGATCCAGAAGCTAGGACTAGATTGTTTTAGATGTTTCTTGAAGCGATCGATCCACCACTTTTGATGTTAGAAAGTAACTTAGCTGGGATGGTTTGCCATCCACTCCCTGTGCATGTCGTTATTTGCGGTTACAAGCAGTTCAGCAGTAGTGATAGCACTCAGTAACACCCAGCTGGAATCCTACCTACTCTGAGTGGTGATGTAGTCACTAATAAAAGTGAGATCTCATAGTCGAGAACACACAGACTGCTTCCATCATTTGTGGTTTGCACTTAAAGTAGCATATCGTGACCAGTTAACTTCTTGAACAACGGAACTAGTGTTGCTTGAAGTCATCTGTGGGTATCGTCAGTGTTACATTAGCGGCTAAACCTGACCTGAACTCGCTTCTCGTATACACTGCTCTTCTTTTCTTACTGCTTTCATTGTTTGAACAGAGAATGACTTGATATAATTTATCTCATTGATTTTTGACAGGGTTTCCAGTTTATGGATGTCACTGAGATTAACTGCCCTCGATTGATCGCCAGTCTTTATCTTCTTCCAAGTAAATCTAGCTGCCCACAGCTTGTTTTGGTATAAAAGGTAATCGTTCGCCAGTCGATGAAGCAAAACATACATGCTAAAACCACAGACAGAGGTTGAGCAGTATTCGCTTAATACTTAGGTGAGTCATTTTCATAACCGTTGCAGTGCAACCACTTATTACACAGGCCATGTTCCATTGGTAGACTAGAAACTTACGGGTATTGACATGTTTACTATTGGTGTGCTTAACACTTATTGAAATTCTAACACTACATTCATTCAAATGAGGTAGAGAACTGTTCTGTTCCTTATAAAACACTTCCCTAGCAGACACATTGTGCAAGGATGGTGTGGCACAGTTTCGTAAAACGCAATTTTGATGGTACTATATTTCGTAACAACACAGCTGATTAGACGGTCTGCAGAGAATACTTCTTAATGTATACCGTATCTATTTATTCCGAATACAAAAGCCCATGTCCTTTCTCACTATCTGAGAGGATTTAAATCAGGAACATGGTTTTCCAAGATAGCTACAAATGCAATGCATCCGAGTCTTTCAAATATATTTCTTAAAAATGACAAACGAGCATCAGAAAAGACTGAGACACACACCAGTCTTTGTGTATTTAACAAAAATAATATATGAAAAGTATTAATTTCATTGAAAAACAGTAGCCTCGAAAACGGCCTGCTTAAATCACTGGTCAACCAGAATTCTTGTCCATCAAAATGCTCAAACTCTTCTACATTTCTTATTGTTTTAATCGTTCAATTATATTTTATAGAACGCTACGAATTCGCGCGCTGATTTAATTGGCTTTCAAATAGACCTTATGCAATTCTTGAAAGAAATAAAGGAGAAAACTTACAAAAAAACTTATATATATTTAACGCATTATGCAAATTAATTACAAGTGGTCAGGTTTACGAATAGAACAGTATGTAAAAATATAAGGAAAAAAAGAATTCAAGATAAATTATTTTCGCAGATTAATTACAGATTCCATGAACTTTATGAAGAAAAGTTGAAATATTTTTAAATTTCAAATTTTTCCCATTTTGTAAATCTGGCGACTGCTGATAAACCTTCAAGAAGTAAAAAAAGAGGAAACAATTGTATATATAAGGATTATTCATCATTATTTCCAGTAGGTGTAACACATATGAAGTAGATATGTTTATTACAATAAAAATTAGGTACAACAATTATATAATAAATTTAGAAGCTACGATTACAGTATCGAATCAAAATTAATTTGGAAGAAAGAAAACAGAAATTAAATGAGTAATAGTGATGGTTATTCTCAAGAGTTAGTTTGTATTGATTTGACTGGTTTCAAGTCTGACTACGGATTGATATCAGCTGGAGAACTGTTAAAATCCAAAGAGCACTGGATAGGCAACCGTTTCGTCCCAGTTTGGGACTCGCTGGCAGTACGCTCGCTAGTGACTGGTTACAGGACGAAGTTGGCTGGAGGTCTATTGAGAATTCGTGACCGATGGAGTCCGCCTGTTCGGGAATGAGGACAGATACTCACCAATGACATCAGTTGGTAATCGCACCAAATCACGAATTGGGAGAAATAAGAATTCATGAACTGGCGATAGAATCGAGTACCAGTGGATTACCTAGTAATCTGAAATTCTTGTGTTCCAGTCCCGATGGGAGCAAGCTGATGATGAGTCCCAAACTAGGACGAAACACCTGTCTAGTACTCTCTGGTTTTTAACAGTTCTCTAAAAGATATCAATCCGTGGTCGAACTTGGAATTAGCTATTTTACTGAATATCACCACTCAATGGGATGCTGGTGAGTCTTAAATAAGATGAAACACGCACCTGTAGTTCTGATGCTAGCCATTTTTGATTTAATAATAATATCAACACAATTTATCAGACGATGCTAAACAAAAAATTAACAAATATATACAACATACATATGCTAGTGTCATTAGTTTCGAGTCTTCAACCTCTGAACGTGATTTTCATGTAAACTCTAACCAAAGAATTCACATATAACTTAATACACTTCACAACGACAGTAGGTGATTTTATTACTGGTGATCAATTTCGATCTGATCGGTTTTACTTTTTACTAGCAATATTGAGTCACTTAACTTCGCGTGACATGTGGTACCTGCTAAATATACAAGTCCACAAATATAGGAGAGCTAGAAAATCCTCATTCCAAGTCTATGACGCACATAAGCTCTGGAAATCGATACGAACGAATGGTATGAAAGATAAATCAAACCACTGGCTTGCTTGGAAAGTTAAGATATGCAATTGAGAATCGAAAAAAAATTTGTGGAGATACTGCAATTTCCTTCCTAAACGAACATAGGGCATCAAGCTTTAAGACTTGAAGTTTCACTGTCGGCGCTGGTACTATTATTTTACAGGATGAGGTTGCTAGCCTCACACACACAACCTTCCCTCTTTAGCTGGCTTATTACTAGGTAAGCAAGTTTTAAAAGTGTATGGAGTCTGGAACAATGTGACTATACAGTTTTTCGTTTGATGTTAAAAATAGAAACATTGTGCATAAATTTTGTTTAAAACGATTCTTTGTAAAATTGTGGTGAGAGGTGGCTGCTAGACAAAATTGGTGGATAGTAATTTACTTCAATGTGTACGTCCCCAATATTAGTCATGAGAAAAATAAGAACAAGGACTAACTCAACAACCAATCACAGCAGACTTTGCGTGGGTGGATACGATTAGCAGATATATGGTCTGACCTTCAAAGAAATGGTCACAAAGAGATGACAGAATAATTTACAGTGTGAAAACGACCAATCAGAAGACTGTGTTTGTTTCCGTAAAATAATCTATAATAATGTACACGAAAATCTTTAAATATCTGTTGATTTCGTGAATAAACGATCTGTTGCCTGGCCCTTGTCTTCTGCTGTTAAAAAATATACATAACATCGGAGTACAGTTTAAGATACCGTGTGCTGCTCGATACTACTTCTTCTCACTGGTCCATATTTTCTACTAACTTCACTACTAACCATGTTGTATCCTTTGGAATTTTGCAGGAATCCCTCATCCTCATCCGAAGACTGTTTAACAATCGGTGCACAGCTTCTACTAGTAGACATGACCCTTAGCAGTGAACACTTCTCTGGATTATATTAATGATTTGTAGCAGTGGACTTTAACTGTGTCACTAAATAATCATTAATTTCTACAACTCGTTAACTGTAGTTTTCATAATATGCTGTTACAATGTTATTCCATAAGGCTTGGTTTTTATTCTAATATTTGTTAAGTTATCGAGTTTGCCGGGTGGGAATCGAACCGGGGAAAGGTGAGTGGTTGGTGAGAGCATTCTACCCCCCTGAACACCACTGCCATCACCGACACACCAAGCTTGTAACTAAATTAAATTAATTAAAAATTAAGTATGCAGAGCACATACACTATGTGTAAACTCAGGACTGACGTTTGAACACTATTAATCAGTCGAATACTAAACACAGTAGTTCGATTACACAAAAGCGACACTACAAAGTCCCACAGTTAAAAAAAACTATGTTTAGTTACAGGATTTCATCATGAACTGACATCGGTTAGAGAACCATTGGAAAACCACCTGTGAGTACTGCACAGACAGCTGTTTCGTCAGCCTAGTTTGAGACACTTCATCAGTACACGCCCACACATCGGAGTTCGAATGCAAAACCTTCCAACTTCTTCCAGTTCATGACATAGAGCGACCATTAACCAATATCAATGCTGGCACGAGAATATGTCCTCACACCCAACCTACTGTGCCCTACTGGTCACGACTTCCCACTAGAAGCCAGGTAACTACCTACCTGAATAGGGCCAATCGCTATGTTTGGTATTTCAATAAATGAAATTCTTAGGAAAAATAATCCAGATATCTCGTAAATTTTTATTTATTTTATTTTGATTTTGATTTACAGCTTGATTCCACACCGTATTTTCAGTACAAGTATGGAATTTTCAGCATGGATATCGGTAGCCCAAATTCAGGCCGACCATAGATATCGGGTGTGCGCCGGCAGGGGATCGAACCCCGGACCATGTGCATGGTCGACGAGAGTCCTAACCACTGTGCCTTAACTTGCATAAATCAGTGTCAGAATTTTTTCTACGTCGTTGGCAAATAGTCTGGGGTTCAATCCCATACCGACACACACCTGATATCAATTAGTTGGCCTTCAAAATTCGGGCTACCGATATCACATGCTGAAAATTCCATACTTGTACCAAGCTATAATAAAAAAATATTTACACGTACTCAGTTATATGTTGTACTTACTTGTATCATTTTAAACGGTTTTACCAAACTCCCAGAATACAAACTTTGTATCTCGGAATCATTAAGTTGACTAATAAGGAGAGTCCATGTACATCCAGGATCAAGAGACCATACGGTTTCCAGGCTAAATATTGATGCCTATAAATATAATTGTGAGAAAATATTTTCAAAAAAACATCAATAGAAAATAAAAAGACAATCAGATGGAAAACTCATGATAATACTTACCCCTCCTAATTTAGGAGATTTGGCCTGGCAAGCTAGTTATAGTAATATTCTTAAACAAATAGTTGCATAACATTCATTTCGACGAACGATAGGTAATTTAAGTGGAATGATGATTGAAATAACAGGTGTATCTTTTATTTCGTCACTAGTTCAAATCCTGCTATCAATCCCAGTCAGTCATCAATTACTACACATATATATTTCCATACTGAGTCATAAGAAAAAGGCGTAAACAGTGAAGAAAATTTCTATTTTCGACAACTCAAGTATTGGTTTTTGTAGGGATTTTGTTTGATTGGTTGGAGGATTTCAGCATGAGCTGACATCAGTTAGAGAACCATTGGAAAACCAGCTGGGAGTACTGGACAGCTGTTTCGTCAGCCTAGTTTGGGACTCTTCACAGTACGCACCCAATACGGGTCCCAGTGGCTTAATGGTCTACGAGCTCGCCCTGTAACCAGTAGGTCCTGGGTTTAAGCCCCGCTGGGTGCGTACTGCAGAAGAGTTCCAAACTAAGACTAAACAGTCGTCCAGTACTCCCAGTAGGTTTTTCAATGGTTCTCTAACTGATGTCAGCTCATGATGGAATCCTTCAACCAATTCATAAGACAACCAATCAGATAGTGGTAAAATGTGTCCTCGAAAATGTATTACGTAATGTAAGGTGTAATCTAGAATGGGGTGACTAATTGGAAATTAGAAAAGGGGTAGAAATTGGTGGGACGCAACAAGTATGACAAAATGACTAATCAATAAGATTGTGTAGAATGGACAAGAACTATTGGAGAGAATATAAAGTGTTTTTATAAAATCTGTTTGGAAACGTAATGTTATTAATAAACAGTAACAGAGTGATGATAAAATATGGGTGATGGTAGTAGCAATGATAATAAATTAATAATAGTGATAACAAAATAATAGTAAGCTTACATAACAAAAGGAAGCAAAATTACAGAGAGGACATTACTCTGCCTACGGCAGGGTGAGTGAATGTATATGGTGCTTTCGAATGCAGAGACCCGGTTTCAGATCCCCCCCAAATGACCAATGACTGAACTATGTACAAATGGCGTATTAGAAGTCCTTCCATACGATACTGAGGGAACTCTGTCTAGTACGAGGAAGCATGTCTTCGTCAGACATTTACAAAGGTGGTTTCTAAGATGTTCGGCCTCAATTTCGGTCCCCTTTGCATTTCGGGTTTTCATAGGATTTCATATGATTTCTGACGATGGAGGCTTTTCCTTACATGTTTTTGTCGATGAATCTCGGTGGGCTCCCATTCTCCAGTAGGGGATGTCACGTAATATATTTTCAAGGACAAATTTCACCAGTACCTGATTGGTTGTTTTATGAATTCTTTTTTAATTATAATTACGATCGCACAGCAGACTATGAGAATGAATCTTCGAAAAGAAAAATTTTCTTCGCTGTTTACGTCTTTGATTCTTATTACAGTAAATACTCATTTTGTTCCAGTTAAACTTATCCATCACCGGATCCCTTTTCTTGACTCTACGAATTTTAGGAACACTAAAGTAACAAGTAACACAGCTCATCCACATCTCGTCAACTGTTCTGTTTCGACAGATTAATCTTTGAGAAGCTGCATACTACAACTCATATAAGCTGAGATTAGAAATAGACAGGATTCAAAGTATGAATACGATATATATATATATATATATATATCTGAACCAAGCTCACTTTTAACAGTTCGAAAAAAATTAGGCACTGGGTATATGATATTCATTATAATAAAGGTTTTCTTGTATTTCCCAATGGATGAAAAACAAAACTATATCGTTGTTTGTACTGACGTTTCGCTATTTAATCCTGTTGCTAATAGCTTTATCAAAGTAGTTGCATGAAACCAGAATTTACAAAATCTCAGCTTATATGTACATAACAACTTAATCATTGTTCCTCAGTATGGGGTCATTAACAGACGTCAGACAATTTCAGAAGAGAAGAGTACTCAATAAGCTCGACATCAGAGTTTTCTTTAAAACATCAGACACACGCATTACAAAGCAACCTTGTCCAACCTTAAAGACTCCCTATCTAATTGTATCTATAAAATAAAATGCTTGGAATGTGATGTGATATGCATCCAACAAACATTGCCAGGGAGAAATCAAGGTAGTCGAAAGAAATGAAGACCATAGCGTAAGTGTCTGTTCGACCACCGAGAAATCCAGTTGAACTAAAAAAGCTTGAAAAATCATCAGCCACAGGTCTACACGCTACAGAATCGGACCACAAAATTGATTTTGACAATATTGAAATAATCCAGAAAAATTTCAGAAATCACAAAGAACGTCTAATATCACCAGAAGTACTTCATATCAAGTGGAATCCAAATTGTTTGAATAGGAATGATGGACTAAAACAGAATTTGACCTGGTTACAACACCGCCCTACCCCATGAAGTGACAAAATCAATACGAATGTGATAAACAATGTCATCATTTAAACACATGCTACCTTTATAACTCTACACACTTATCAAATCCAACAATCTACAGCCGGTTTTGTTATCTTTACCAATTGGCCAAATTGACAATAACGCAAAAATGACTCCATGCTGAGGAACGATGATTAAGTTGTTATATATAAGCTAAGTGGATTTTGTAAATTCTGATTTAATAATACTACTACTTTGATAAAACTATTAGCAGCAGCATTAAATGGCGAAACGTCAGTAAAAACGACAACAATATCGTTTTGTTTTTCATTCATTCACTGGGAAATACAAAAACCTTTATTATAATGAATATGAATACAATACAATAAACATAAGAGTTATTACATAACTGTTGAATAAAAAGAATGTAATAGAAAGTAAACTAACCTTTTGTAGTTCTTCTGGTTGTGAATCATCTAAATACTTCACAAGGACATTGATTACAGATTGTAATGATTGAGACGATATATTAGTCTAAAAGAGATAAGAACGAAAATGAAATTAGCGAAAAGAAAATCCAATAAAAACAAGGTGAAAGACAAGCTTTTTGGTGTTGATGAAGTCATCTTCTAAAGCTGTACAATTGTCATAAAAAAGTATTTCAAACATGTTACAGATCTCTCCATCAAACAACCGTCTTTATTGGATACTACATATGATGGAGAAGATTTGTAGCTCAGGTGGATGATTTATTTGCGAAGCTTTCATTGTCCTCACTGACTTACTAGGCAACATCTTCAGTGCATACACTTCAATTTGATGAAGTGAGCTTTCCCCACGAGTTGATTAGTCATCTCTCTTGGTGGGTGACCTTGAACCTCGTGATTAGATGTTTTTGTATGTTTTTACACCCTCTAAGCTACTTGTATTGTCACTGATTGTTTCCTTGACTTGAACTTTGACCCTTTGTGTGTGAGGTTTCCTTCTTATCCATTGGTAAATTTCGACTATGTCGGTGTGTCTATTGATTGACGATTCACTGGAATACCAGACTTCTAAAAATTCTCTAGCATTCTTGGTGTTTCCTCAGTCTAATATTTGAACATTGGTTGTCCCAGTTGAATTGATGTCTGTGGTTGTCTGTATGCAGTGATATGAGGGAGTAGATATCATGTCTTTTGATGACTAGTTAGTTTGTGTTAATGGATGTGAAGACGAAGAGGGCCCAATATAGTGGTTTTCGCGGTCATTACAATTCATTTTATGGATGATGTTGGTTTTATCTTCTTTCTCTGTTGAGTCTTTTGGTTGACACAGAGCTGAGTGAAGTGATTTTATTACTTTGTGTGCAGCATCAATTTCTAAAGGTTTTGAAGAGTTTTGCATTGAATCGTCAATTAATAGACACTTCGACATAGCCTAAATTTACCAAACGATAAGAAGGAAATCTCACACACAAAGGGTTAAATTTCACGTCAAGGAAACAACCAGTAGGATAGAAGGTGTGAAAACACACAAGAACAATCAATCACGTTCAAGGTCACCCACCAGGAGAGATGACTAATAAACTCGTGGAGAAATCTGAAAGCTCACTTCATCAAATTGAAGTGTATGCGCTGAAGATGTTTCCTAGTAATTAGGACAATGAAAGCTTCACAAATAAACCATCCAGCTGGCTCAGAGAACACAACTACATCAAAAAAATTACTGGATACTGAATATCCAACAGTAGGTTGGAAAGGATGAGTAATGAGGAACCCTGGCGACCACCAACTAACGAAGAACCTATCTCCCGACAGATATGCAGTAGGAAATATAGATGGATTGATCCAACACACACTCAGGAGGCCGTTGAATGAAATCACGGCCCCCCACTGTCAAATGGATCTCTACTGGAAAGAGATGAATTAGACAGTTGAGGGTGATATGGAGAATATGATGCGAAGAAGGAATGAAGGCCTGTAAGTAGTCGTGGATCCAGTTGGAAGTTGTATCAGAAAACCTACAGTGTAATGGAGATATGCCACCGGGATCTTATGTTTTACTCCAAAGATAATGGATGAGTAGTAATGACAATAAAAATTAGGTGTGACATAAACGCCTCAGTTATCCAAAAGTGTTTCCTTACAAGACACAGAGAAATTTCGTACTAATCAAAGACGCAATGAAGGCAAGAGATTCGATCATTACAAATTATTTTAAATAATCTCAGCGTCTTTGAGAAAAAAACAAGGAACCAACATTTTTCTGAACATTGTAGGTCACAGCTTCTTCAGCAGAATCATTACGATTTTACTAACCATCAAAATATATAGTCAGCAGTTACATAAATTGAAGTGAGTTCTTTTGAAGGTCACCTGTCAGTAGACATTTGTACCAATGGAAGAATATGTGGAACAGTCATCACATATTTGTAATGACTAGTGTCAACTTGTCATACGTGCATATTTGTCCACACGACTGTGTACGTGTGTCCGTACGTTGTTTGTTGTATGGGAAACACACGAAAACATGATAGTATTTCACAGTGGTCATAATGTAGGATTGATCAGTTTTATATTTCTCTCTAATCTGTTTTGCTTCATTAGAGAGAGTGTGTCTTATTAGGTGACGTTGAGTCTATCCCTTCTCTCCTAATTACTGCATTTGATGTGGTTAAAATGTATGCAAGGCGGCTTCAGAGGTCAGCCTTTCTTTATATGTTGAATGAAAGCCTCTTCCTAGAATCACAATATATAAAGTTTACTGATGAAGTAGAATCGGCAGAGGGAGCTCTAAACTTTCTGGATTGTCTTGCAAAAAGACAAACTGACGATAAATAGGAAACCAAGAAATCCATACAAACATTTGAATTTGCAGTCGGATCATCCAATAAAAATGAAAATTTCAGTAGGTTTAGATCTCGTTTACAGAGCTAGAAACACTATAACAACAGATAAGGATGATATGGAGAAAAAGATATCCAATATAAAACAAATTTTGATTGCAAATGGTTATCCGGAAAATCTACTAAATAATATTATCAATAAAAAGGAGTAGATGGGAAAACAGAAAATCGAAAAACCTTGGATATGGACCGGTGATAGCCATTCCATACCGAAAAGAGACAGCTGACCAAATTCAAAGACTACTTGCTGCATATAATATTGAAGTCTATTTCAAGTCGTGTAATTCTAAAGAGAAAGCTTTGGTGAATGTTAGAGATATGGTTCCCAAAACAACTGTGTCTATAGGATAAATTGTTCAGAATGTGAAGCTCGCTATATAAGGGGGAGCAGTTGACAGGTGGAGGTTACAGTGTATGAACATAGACTGTGCACGAAATGTCCACCTAGAAATGAAGTAGAATTAAGAAATCCAGAGAAAAGATCAGCTGTAGCAATGCATGTGCTATAGACAGCGGACATAAGATTGATTTCGACAATGTCGAAATTCTAGAAATAGGCTTTCATTCACATATAGAAAGGCTGACCTCTGAAGCCGCCTTGCATACATTTTAACCACATCAAATGCAGTAATTAGGAGAGAAGGGATAGACTCAACGTCACCTAATAAGACACACTCTCTCTAATGAAGCAAAACAGATTAGAGAGAAATATAAAACTGATCAATCCTACATTATGACCACTGTGAAATACTATCATGTTTTCGTGTGTTTCCCATACAACAAACAACGTACGGACACACGTACACAGTCGTGTGGACAAATATGCACGTATGACAAGTTGACACTAGTCATTACAAATATGTGATGACTGTTCCACATATTCTTCCATTGGTACAAATGTCTACTGACAGGTGACCATTAAAAGAACTCTCTTCAATTTATGTAACTGCTGACTATATATTTTGGTGGTTAGTAAAATCCGAATAATTCTGGGGAAGAAGCTGGCTGTGACTTACACCGTGAACATTAGAAACAATTTGTAATCATTCAATTTGACTCGGCACTCAAATTATCACCAGTAAATTCGTAACATCTACAGTGTGGAAGCTTATAAAAGTTTGGAGTTCAAAGAAATATGTAAATTCTAACTAGATGAGAAATACGTTAGTTGAGTGTTCCATTTGATTAGCGTGTGAAAATGTGAGGAAAAGAACTAACTGACGAGTAAAATGTACAAAAGTAACATATATGAGTGATAACGGGAAATAACTTTATACTAAAAGAAAGATCGCAACAGAACAAGATAATCAAAAATAAAAACCTTTTCTATGCAGTGAGTTGAAGGGGTTGTGTGGATGAACCGTTCGCACCTTTCTACCATACACAACGATAGACTACTTACTATACATTTCAGTATATACAAGTTGGATTGTACAGTTTCTTTGTCAATAAAGAAAAAAACAACACGGGAAAACAAAACAAGTTTACTTACTTTTTTACAAAGTGATCCTAACTCATGCAACAGATACTTTTGTACACGATGGGATGTCAAGTACTTGTACGATTTAGATGACGACGCACTGAAGTGAAACAAAGGCAAACAACAATGACAACAACAAAAAAGTTTGTGAGGATAAATACACAAAGGGAAGCATTGAATAACAAAGAATTTTAATTAAAAAAAATAACAAAAACGAGAAGCATGAACATAATCAACGTGTACCTCTGTCTCCAACCAGCTTTAATAAAAGGCTTTTGTTATATTGTTATTGTGGCAGCTATATGACAATGTTACATGTCAGGTGATCCACAACGGAAAACTCAGCGAGGCGTTCGAAGTGAATACAGGAGTGAGAAAAGACTGACTACCTATTATTATCAACGATGATATTCTTAATTGTGGAGGACTGGATCATGCGGAAGACTGTACATAGGGAGTAAGAAGACAGGAATACGTTGGACACATAAGAAGACTCTAGAAGATCTGGATTTCGTGCAAGGATGATTTATGTTTAATGTCACACAAACTCGAAGAATTGCAGACAGGCAGGCAGGCGAAAACCAACAGACTGGCAGACGACACGAGCAGGCGGCGAAGACAGTACTTCAGGCGGACATAGAGAAGACGGAGTTAATGAAGATAACCAACCAACATCAACCACAAACAGCACTATTCACCATCAACGGGAGAAACTTGAAAGAGGTCACTTCCTTCAGTTATCTGACCATGAAGCAGGGTTTTAACCATAGGTGGCGACAGAATGGATGAAGATGTCAAAGACAGACAACATTGGAAAGGCAAGATACGCCTTCATCATTCTGCTTTCGGTTCTACATTGAATGAGTAAGTACATTTGGCTTTTTCATATTCCTTTACCTCTTGAGTGGAACGTAGGGGTCCAAGCTTGAGCTTTGAAGTTTCAGCAGTGTTGATGTTGGTTTCTTCAGGGGGGTAGAGTTGCTAGCCTACGTTATCTTTACCAGGCTTACTACCGCATAAGCGGGGTTTATGCATGCGCCGACTGAAAATCAACCCTGAACCATAAGCATAGTTGGTGAACACTGTACAAATGAACCACTAATGCACATTAGGAGTTAAAGGATATAAAATACGTGTACAGAGTTCAGGTTCAGATAAGCGGAATGTGGTACCACGGACGAAAAGGTGTATATCTAACATATCAGTTGAGTTGTTTATCGAGCCAGTATTACTGCATCCAGACGCATCAGTCCACTCGGTCATATCAGCAGTTAACGAGATCATATCTATTAACGACAGGTCCATGGCAGCTCCATATTTAAGTTTAACACATCTGGTGTCATCACTAAGTCTATGGTGAGCTGTCCTATGATGTATCTATACAGAGTAATATGTATTCAGGACGTCTATTATCTCCAACAACAATCAAATTCATCATAGATAAACTGATACGAACCTCTTCACCCATATCTGATTACACAACGACTAACCTCTCCAATGACAGATGCCTCACAGTTGATTTAAGTTTACAGAAAACATGGCGAAGTCCAACAATAGCGTCCCAGGAGGAGTGCGAACGCTCCAATGACCTTGAACGCATGCTAGTCGTCGGCTGACGGTACCTGTCATTATCATAGCTGAAATATCAACGCTATTCACCAACTAAGGAGCAAATTTCACCCAGATCACGTTTTCAAGTACTGTTTGGATAATGTGTTAATAGCTCGTTAGGGTTAGGATCAGGGTCATAATTAGGATTAGGATTAGATATACGGTTAGGATAAGGGTTGTAATTAGGGTTAGGGGTTAATTATGGATAGATTTAGAGTTGATGACATTTATTTTAATTTGTTTTCTTATCCATATTTTCCTCGTAAGTAGTCGTCGATCCTCATACTGGAAACCATAGTAGTTCAACCAAGGGCCTTCGGGGAAGACTGATCACACAAGATAAGAGAGATAAACGATTCAGAAAAACAGCTCATCTTCAGTCACCTCTGTGAATACATGTACAGAAACTAGTCCAACTTAGCAGCTGATACTCCTCATTATAACTGGGACGTATTCTTAAGTAATGTCAGAGAAAGATAGCCTGTTTAATGTGTTTTCATGCAATTTCTTGTTAATATACGTCATTTTCTGCGCAAAAATTCCTCATTTTTATGACTGGTCGGCTGAAGGTCACTTGTGCGTTTGCATCCCTTGGGAAGCTATTGTCGAGCTTTGCCGGAAACATATCTCGTCTGTTAAGCCAAGATGTTGACTACATACAATGATATATGCATACATGCTAAATGATAACTGGAGCCAATGTTAAAAAGGATTAAGAGACAGTCAAGAGCGGCTAGATCAAAGAAATACGAAATCTATCCATGATGAAATTGATCACTAATTATTGGTTAGAATTCAGTTATTCCGAATATATATTTTCATGTACTAGTGTGACGTGTGCTACTGTAATAAGAGAGAGACGTTTGTCGGTATAAAAAGATATCAAACAGCAAGGAGGATAGATTTGACGTCAAAGAGAGCAAATGATTCAGCGTTGCGGCAAAACATGGGAGACGTGAAAAGAAAGACGAAGAAACACAGTACGAAGGAAGGCCAGAAGTATCACAATATGGAAGATATATGCAAATGGTATGTTAAAGATAAGGTGTACACAATTCCGCTATATTGTGATATCAAATTCCAAATAAACTTTCATTTATCAAGTTTCTTGTCCTCTGCTGTTACACTAGGCAATCTGCCACCCTACCCAGTCGCTCAAGCTGTAGTAAGTAGGACGGTAAAAAACCCGGGAACCAATGGCCAAAAGTCATGTTCGCATACCAACGGGAAGAGGGCATCTCCAGTGGTTTGAGCTATATACTAAATTCTAGGTTTTCAGGCTGGGATCCATGCATCGACAGATATTTATAATGTGAAACATCAGTTGGTATGATTTACATTTTATCAATTTGGACCGTACAATTTTTATAATGCTAATGCCTATGATTATACTCACTGTCCAGAAGAAAGATACAAATTCACTTCAGCGCAAACATATTTACGCTGATTAATTATTATTATTATTATTATTATCCCAGTGGCTGAATGGTATACGAGCTTGCCTTGTAACCGGAAGGTCCTGGGTTCGAATCCCAGTGGGTGCGTACTGTCGATGATTTTGCGTCGGTGGTATAGCGGTTAGGACGCTCGCCAACCATGCACATGGTCCGGGGTTCGATCCCCGGCCGACGCACTCCTTTACCTCGCTAAGCTAGAAATAATGCTGGTAAAGAGGAAAGGTTGGGCATGAGGCTAGCAACCCCATCCTGTAAAAACAAGCACTGCTACAGAAACTTCAAGCCTCTAGCTTGAAGCCCTATGTTCCACGGAACTGAAGGAAAAAAAACCACGGTGCATCAGTGGTACCGTGGTAGAACACTGGTCAAACCATGCAAGTGGTTCGAGGTTCAATCTCCGGCAGACGCACTCCTCCTAAACCTAGTTAAGCCGACAAAAGGACCGATAAAGAGAGAAGGTTGGACATGAGGCCATCAACCTCACTACACCGGATAAACAAAAACCAATGCTGTCGAAACTTCAAAGCTCCACAGCTTAAAGTCCTATATTGTTCCCCTGGGAACGCAAAGGCATAAATAAATAAAAAATTTTTACCACATATATTGATTCGATGAAAAAACAAACAAACAACAAACCTTATAGAAGCACTTCTTGTTAAAAACATCACTAATGGTGGAATGATTTCAGATGATGCACGCTGTCGAATAAAATTCCCAGCAACTTTAGACAATATAGTTAAGAGGTCAAATGCCTAATTTTTTTATGAAAAAAAGAAAGTGGAAGAGAAGTGGAGATATTATAAAGTTGATTTCAATTGAAACTTTATAGTGTATACAGAATAATTAAACTAAATTAAATTAAGTCAGAAGATACTTTTTTAGGAATAGGAATCATGTAATGTGAATAATTACCGTCTTCAAACGAGACTGAAGTTATTTCTCACCACGAAATCTCAATAATTAGAAGGATTGTGAAAAACTTGATTCTACGTATTATCAGTTGGTTTAAGTAGATAACTACAATTCGCCGTGGTTTGAAGTGATTCGTCTGAGCTTAATTGAAACTGGTAAACCGCTGATGAGCTCACTTCGAACACTCCATTGTTTAGACATCATTGGTATGGCTGGATATTATATATATTTTCGAGTTGGTACACTCTCTCCATGTACAACACAAAACAAGAGAGATAATAAACAGAAGGGTGAATGAGGAAAAAATAGTAGTAATATCGAAGAACAATATAATTTTATTGGACATGACAAATTCTAAAGAATGAATGACTCTGAGCCAGCCATTGACAACGACGATTTTGAGCCAAATTACCATTTGTCTTCAGCTACCATTGGTTTTTATCATCCCGAGGGCCCCAACCAGTAAGGAAGTCTACACCTTACTACGTGAGTGGCTTAAACTAACTTTTGTAGATTTCTTACAGGATTTCATCATGAGCTGACATTGGTTAGAGAACCATTGGAAAACTACCAGGGAGCACTGGACAGCTGTTTCCTCCGTCCTAGTTCGGGATTCTGCTTTATTAGTACACAACCACCGGGGGTCGAACCCATGACCTTCTGGTTACAAGGCTAGCAAGCTCGTACACTATTAAGCCACTGGGACCTGATCCAATGGCCAGTTCATAAATTACAACTTCTGCCAATTCAGCAACGACATTGAGCGACTGCCAGCCAATGTCTTCGGCGAGTATTTCTTCTCACACCCGACCTGCTACACCCTACTGGTCACCCAGGTAACTACCTACCTGAATAGGGCCAGTCCTTAGTGAGCACCTCACAGATATTCAAGTGTTGGTTTGCAGGGATTTGATTGATTTCAGGATTTCATCATAAGCTGAGATCGGTTAGTGGATTTCATTGACTGATGAAGCCATGTTTCGATTTGACCACCATTAGCTCTCTTCCAACTTCATCCATCCTTTGTCAGTCAGCTAACATTGCCCGTCATCGAAGAAGGCCATCGATGGCTAGGCATGTGTAAACGTTTCCTAACCATCTCATTCGATGTAACTTCACAACCTCGTCGACTGATTTTCCCTCCTTACCTACCACTCGACCGATTCCTTACCTCAATATTGCTCACTATTTTATACCATTTAACAAGGGATATAATACGGGGGCACCTATGATCTAAAAAGACAGCTAGCCTTTTCGTATCTTCTACTTTCAGTGGCCATGTTTCACAGCCAAAAAGGAGGATGAAGTAAACTGTTGAGCAGTACACACGTCCTTCGGTTGACAGACGAATATCATGTCTACTAAGCAAGAGATAACGTATGCCAAACGAACCTTCTGTGATTGTGTTGGGATTTCGTCAGAGATCAACCCGCTGGTGTTATCTAATGCAATTTTCCGCAAAATAAGTGAAGTGGTCGACACACTCCACCACTTCAATCCTGCCTGTTTAAGCTAGGAGTCAATGTAGTCCAGTCCTTTAGCACTATCTTACATCTGACAAGAGTGAATCGTATGCCAAACATTCGAAGATTGCTGCCCCTCAAGGTGTTCAGAAGACTGTGTATTTTGTCAGCGTCTTCACCTAAAAGGACTATATCATCTGCATATTCTAAGTCAACCAGATTATTTCCTGATGGTAACAAGTCAATTCCTGAGTCGCTGAAGTCAGTTAGAGCCAGTTCCATTAGTACATCTACGATGAAATCAAACAGAAAAAGAGACAGTGGGAAACCCTGATGGACACCACTACTTGTCATCACGGTTTCGCGAGTTCAAGTAGAGTTCCTTGATTACATCGATACACTTCCTCTGACAAACATTGCCACAGAACATTTCGGTCTACAGAGTCAATATTCTGACTTTAGGTCAAGGAATATGGTAAATGTTGGACGCCTGAATTCGTCAAAAGAGGGGGGGAAGATAGCACCAATACATCCTACTCCTCGCTTAAACCCTGTCTGGTTTTCTCAGGTCTCAAAGTTACCTATTATTTAGCACAGCATCGTAGCGAACTGTAGGCTAAGAAGAGTGCACAGGGCGAGAGAAAGAGAGATACAGGCTGTATAAGGCACACAATTAATCCCAATACAAATAAATATATTTTATTATTTTATTTTATTTAAACGCAGAAAACCTTGGTACAATATGGCACCAAGAAAGATGCGACACCCAATAATAATAAAACAACATAGATTCAAAGTAAAAATATGGGTGGAGAACGGAAAAAACTTCATCAGGAAGGAAAACAGTCATGTTTAACAAATTCAAACAGTATTCGTTAACTATCATCAGGAAGGGAAGAAAGAAGGAAATTGCAACACGTTCGCCACTGATTACGATTCTTGGCCATATCCGATAACGTTTCGAGCCATCGATTCGAGCTATCTCGCGGACTCCAACTAGGGAGTCGTGATGCACCAACCGATGCTAATCTAGCACAAAAATCCTTCATCCCACGACTCCACGTCATGGACTGACCACCCCTCCGCCTTTTCCATTCCGTCCCAGGGCTAGCGAACAGAGACCTGTACGGAAGCCTCTGGGATGACATTCGCAGCACATGTCCAAGCCACCGTAACCGGTGTTTCCAGATGACGACACTCAATGAATGGTGATCTCCACTGTGTTCAAACACACGCCGCCAAACCTCAGAATTACTCACGCGATGATGTCATCGAACGCAAGCAATCCTGTGGAGACAGCGATGATCAAACACGCAGAGCCACCGCACATCCTCAGCTCGGAGAAGCCAGGTTTCACAGGCGTAGAGCGAAATAGCCCGCACCGAAGCATTGTATACGCGACCTTTGACAGCCATGCTAACGTCGCGACGGCGCAAGAGGTGGCTCAAGTTGATGTATGCCACCCTAGCCTTTGTTATACGATTCGAAATCTCCACCAGCACTCACACAACTACCCAGATACACAAACTTATCAACAACTTCAAGCGGTTCACCTGCAAGCAAGAGTGAGTGCAAGTACAGGCTCCTGCCAATCTTGTAACAGTACTTTGCACTTAGACGATGCAAAGCACATACCATACTTACAGACACTGATCACCAACTGAATAAGTGCGATTTGGGCAGCCTGCATGCTATCACCCAGTAAGACGATATCGTCTGCATACTCGAGATCAAAAAGTCTCTCTCCAACAAGCAGATCTACACCACTTTCACGCACATCCTTCAGAGCTGACTCCAGAGTGTCATCGATGGCAAAGTTAAAGAGAAATGGAGAGATCGGGCAAATAAATAAATAAATACGAAAGGAAAAACTTACTTTTTCAACAACTATAGCATGACTATCTCGAAATCTCATCATTAAAGAAGCCCATATTTTATGAACAATAGGCAGTAATAATTCTGTGGGAAGAAAAAACACAGAGTGAAGGTTAATTACAAGACATCAAGGTGAAATGCGTTTCAACTGGTTCCCCGGTGGAGTACGTAACCAAAAAAAGAGGCATCGTTGGAAGATATTTTGTAATAACAGTCAAAGATGCTACTGTTTTCCAATCTTATAATATATGTGATTTAAACTTCACTACTCAAAACCTGATATCTTTAGTGTATCGCAGCCACCACTTATCATCATGTAAGGGGTGACGATAGTTTTACTGCCTAGTAGGATGGAATGAACTCATGACGCACTGGTTGAAGATCCAGTGCACCAAGGCAGGTTAAAAGCAAAAATAAACTGTATTGTACACACAGAGAGGCCTTAATTTTTACAGATAGCTATCGTCTCATCGGTGTACTTCAGTAAGCGCTTCTATCTGTTTTCATAGCTAATCTTGAAAACTGTTTTGATATTAGTCTTGTAATCAACATCAGTAAAGTGTTTTCATGTAGTCGAAGTTCACAGACTACCACCTGTTTTTATCAAGACTTCACAGTCCATTCGGGCATATATTCTCCCACTGTCATGTGCAAAGCCCGGCTGTTCCTCCCTATGTATGTGTGACCACACACACATGTAAATTCGTACATAGGTATTATTACTATTGTTCCCTTGGGTTTCTAGTGGAACATAGGGCTTCAACTGCACGCCTCCACTTGCTTCTGTCTTCTGCTGTACTTTTCACTTGCATCCATGTTAATCCATACTGTTTCAACTCCTCTTCACACGATCTCCTCCATGTCACCCTTGCACTGACGTCCCACTCGCCACTTCCCTTTCGGGTTCCACTCGAGCTATGGCCTGATGCGTGATGTTACCCAGCGGCCTCCTCAGCGAGTGTCCAATCCATCTCCACTTTCTCCTGCATATTTCTTGAGCGATTGGTCCTTGTTTTGTTTGTTCCCATAGTTTCTTGTTGGTGATTCTATCCGGCCATCTGATCTTCAGTATAGAGCGAAGACAGTTGTTGATAAAGGTCTGCAACAGGCTGTTGGAAATATTCTTTGTGACCCGCCAAGTTTCTGATCCGTATAGAAGAACTGATTGACTTGATATTTGTATTGAAAATCCGAATTTTGTTGTTGATGCTGAGTGACGAAGATTTCCAGATTGGTTTCAGGTTGATGAATGTGTTTCTCGCCTTCCCGATTCTCAAATTGACATCTTCGTCCGTTCCTCCGTACATAGGTATAGGATGTCAAAATTTCACATTGTGACAAAAGTACTGTTTGGAATGAAGCTATTATTCATCATGAGAGTACTGGATAGTCATTGCGTTCTAGTTTGGGACTCTTCAGAAGTACGTACTCGACAGGACTCGAACCGAAGACCTTCTGGTTACAAGGTAACTTCACAGACCATTAGGCGACTGGGACCAGATCCCGTGACTCAGGGTCGTGACCTGTGGCATACAGCAGGTTAGGTGTGAGGCAAAATACTCACCAGCGATGACATTGGCTAGCGGTCGCTCTATATCATGAATTGACAGAAGTTAGAATTCATGAACTGGCCTTTGGATCGCTTCCCAGTGACTTAATGGTCTACGAGCTAAGTCGTTCAAAAGACATAAGATTATTAGCGAATTATAATTTTGACACATTTATTCTAGTATATTTGAGTAACCTAGCAAAATAAGCACTTAACCAAGTGTATCATGATGCAGATTGACAGGAAGCTTCCAAAATTGAAATCAACATTTTAAGTCAGTTGCTGCAGAGGTGGAAGTCCCTATTGTTCAAATCTGGATTTATTTTACGTTGTGGACATGAAATAACCTCATTAGACAACCTATTGAACCTCGGGTGAATCGCCAACCAATCGGAACAATTTATTCTACTCTGACTTAGTCGTACCTTAATAAAGGTCCGTTACCAAGTCTGTTATCATCCCCCGTTACACAGGACTCTTATATTGAAATAAACAGAAACTGTGATAATTTAGACACCACCATGTTCAAGCAGGGTTCTCTATAAATCAACCGCATTATTGAGCCATTTCCTCTCGGAATCAAAAATGCGTCTATAAATGGAAGTTGCTTGCAACTTTCTGCCTCACATGTACGACTTACGTGATTTAGTACAGAGACCCGACCGATAACTGCTACCTTGCCGTGGTGGTCGGGCTTGAATGCCGCAGTGACCTAACAAGCTAAACTGACTGGGACTCATGTCCCTGCAGGTCCTACCATGTCAGGAAGGTTGTATGGATAGCGGTTAGACTAAAAGCAGTTACCATGGGGTAGATGGGCTCCAGAATTCAATCGGATCAAATGGCGCATGAACCCATATGGGTCACCGGCAACCATGGGAACGCAGCTCCTGACGCTGCTCCGCTGCCTTGCGGATTAGACTCCAAGTCAAGGGCTCGGGGAGTGGTCCCTTAGGAAAACCACCTGCTTCGGTTTGGGCGCCCGGGCAGTATCTCAGCCCTCACACAACATTGTGTGGCACATCTTTCTTGGTGCCATATTGTACCAAGATTTTCTGCGTTTAAATAATAATAATAGTACAGAGTAGAAGAATCATACCTTCATGATTATTGCAAATCACAACAAAATTATCGACGTGTCTCTTATTAAAAGACACCACAGCAATGAAATCTTGGGAGAAACGCAACCTTGTCAAGCTACCCAATAAGCGTGACTCATGTCTCTGCAAGAACTGTCCATTCCAAGTAAAGTACTGTCACGTCATCCTGGAGAAAATGAAAGACGCACTGGATGCAGATCTCCGCCAACCGACAGAAGCTGGATTCACGAAGGGCAAATCATCATTATCTTACAGAGCATAGAACAGCAGTTAAACCTCTGTCTACCTTAACTTCGTCAGCTTTGAAAAGGCCTTCGACAGCCAGCGTCGACAGTGAAGGAATTGGGAAACTAATTCAACACTAAGGCGTGAAGTGCACAAATCCTTATCAACCTCATTCAACAGCTAGCTATAAGACGATGCCACGTGTCAGGTGATCCACAACGGAAAACTCAGTGAGGCGTTCGATGTGAATACAGGAGTAGGACAAGGCTGACTGCCTATTATCATCAACGTTGATATTCTTAATTGTGATGGGAAGCGAGAAGACAGGGAAACGTTGCACTGACCGATAAGAAAACTCTAGAAGATCTGGATTTCGTGCGTGGATGATCTATGTTTGATGTCACACAAACTCAAAGACTTGCGGCAAGGTGAAAACCAACAAACTGGCAAAAGTGGTTGACAGCAAAGACAGGACTCCAGGTGAACATGGAGATGATGAAGATAACTGAACAATAGTAACAACAACCAGCACCAATCATCACCAACGGGAGAAATTCGAAAGAGGTTACTTCGCTCACTTATCTGACTAGTAGGCATTGTTTTAACCACAGGTCGGTGAAGACGTCAAATCCAACCAGAACCAAAAAGGCAAGATACACCTTCATCAGTTTGTAACCAGTTTGGTAATCTTCTGCTCTCACTCAGCCAGCATAAACAACGAGATTCGGATTTTCAACACCAATGTCAAGTTTGTCAGTCAGTCAGTTCTTCTATATGGGTCAGAAACTCGCCAAGTGCAATTTCCAACAACCTACAGTAGACGTTTATCAACAACTGCCTCTTTCGTTGGCTCTATATTGAAAAATCGAATGGCTGGGGCCAGAAAGAATTCGCAACAAGAAACTATGAGAACAATCTAACTAAGAATGCGTCGACCAACAAATATGCAGAAGAAAATGAAGATAGATTGGGTTCACACTGAGGAGCCCATCGAATGACATAGAGCGGCAGGTCAACGGTCAAGTGAAACTCGAATGAGAAACAACAAGTGGGTCGTTCGAGGGTGATACACAGGAAATAGAGCGAGGAGGAAATGAGAGATTACGGGCAATCGTGGGGTCAGTCAGCTGAAGACGACAGTAGGAAATAGAACAAAGTGGAGATGTATTACTGAAGCCCTGTGTTTCACTCGGGACCCAACGGAATATTAGTAATAATAATAATAATAGCACTGAAATCACCACACAGATTTTCAGTGTATGAAATATACACATCAACCAACAATGACCAAAAGCAGTGACAAGCATATACATGTTAGTTGAGAAAAGATTAACAATAACAATAAATAAAACTCACCAGTTTCACTTTCTAAAGCTAAACAACCCTCTTTAATAACATTCATTGAAAGTATGCGCAGTCTGGGATTTCCGTCAGACATTAGATGTATGCATCGTAATATAACCTTTTGAAACCAAAAAAAATAACATAAAGTATTACGCAGGCAGACTAAAACACTAATAGTGATGATAATAATAAACACATCTGTAAGACTCAACGACGGAGTTCCACTACAAACGAATCTCAGACGTTTAGAAAATATATTTACTTCTATCCCTCACAGCAAGGCAAGCTAACATTACTCACAAGTCTGTGTGAAGAAGATCAACAGCACTACTCAACATGAGAAATAACATCTGGATTTTCAACTCCAATGTGAAGTCAGTGCTGCTTACTATACGGATCACAGACTTAGCGCCATGTCGCGTTACGAAGGCCACTTCGAACAAACTACAGACCTTCATCAACAGCTGTCTTCGTTCAATACTATTCAAGATCAGATGGCCGGCCACAAAAGATCAGCAACAGGGAGGAATCTCTCTAAGAGCGAACCAATTCGGCAGGAATCAATTGTGCAATAAATATGCAGGAAGAAATGGAGGTAGGTGGATTGGCCATACTCTGAGAAAACCATCAAGTGAGTGACATCACACGCCAGGTCATTGCTCGAGTGGAATCTGAGTGGGAAGCGACGAGTGGGTCGTCATGGAGGAGATCATGCGAAGAGGAGATGAAAGCATGTGAACAGACCTGTGGAGCTAGGTAAAAACGTTGTCAGAGAACCGAAGGCAATGGAGACGTGTGACTGAAGCCCTATGTTCCTCTAAGAACTAAAGGAAACAATAATAATAATAATAATTTAATTCCTCACAGTCATAACCTTTCTCGTTGAGCAATTTTAGTTGACAATGAATTGGATTGCAAAAGAATGACGGGTGGTCAAATGAGAAACCTAGTATCAATCCATGAAATTATTGACCGTTGGTTAGAGGTAAGAATGGGACGTATAGATAGAATATAGTTATAATTCACTTGGTTTTATTATAGCGAGAGGATTCAAGGATTAGAATTCCGACTTTACTCAACTCCACCTGTACAAATGGATAGTATAATCAACTTTTCTTACATAATACATGAGCATGGCCAACAGTCTGACAAGGAAACAGTTCGCTTAGAGTAAATAAGTACCAACTAACATGATTTATGTTTGATGTCACACAAAATCGAAGACTTACAAGCGAAAACCGACAAACTGGTCGAAGAAGCAGCCAGAGAAGACAGGACTCCAGGTGAACATAGACAAGACGGAGGTTATGAAAATAACCAACCAACTAACAACAACAGCAGCAGCAACATCCAGCACCAATCACCATCAACGGGAGGCATTTGAAAGAGGTTACTTCATTCACTTATCTAGGGAGCATTGTCTCAACTGCAGGCAGGTGGAACGGACGAGGATGTCAAATCGAGAATCGGGAAGGCGAGAAACACATTCATCAACCTGAAACCAATCTGGAAATCTTCGTCACTCAGCCTACATCAACCACAATATTCGGATTTTCAATACAAACGTCAAGTCATCTTTGCTATAAGGATCAGAAACTTGGCGGGTCACAAAGAATATTTCCAACAGCCTGTTGCAGACCTTTATCAACAACTGTCTTCGTTCTATAGTGAAGATCAGATGGCCGGAAAGAATCACCAACAAGAAACTATGGGAACAAACAAAAAAAGAACCAATCGCTCGACAAATATGCAGGAGAAAGTGGGGATGGATTGGACACTCACTGAGGAGGCCGCTAGGCGACATCGCGTATCGGGCCATTGCTCGAGTGGAACCCGAAAGGGAAGCGGTGAGTGGGACGTCAGTGCAAGGGTGACATGGAGGAGATCGTGTGAAGAGGAGTTGAAACAGTATGGACTAACATGGATGCAAGTGAAAAGCACAGCAGAAGGCAGAAGCAAGTGGAGACGTGCAGGTGAAGCCCTATGTTCCACTAGGAACCCAAGGGAACAATAAAAAAAATTTAAAAAAACATGTTAAGAAGTGACAGGAAGAAAAATGCAGGCTAGACTACTACTCTAGATCACACTCACTTCTTCAACTATTTGTAAATGATCAGGAAATGTATGATTTTTATTTTCATCGCCTTCATTATCCTCATGATTGCCTGATTGCTTTTCATAGTCATTTATTCTGTCAGTATTTTCCTCATTGTTCGACTTCTCTTGACTGACATTATCATCATCAATCGATTCAATATGATGTAGACGACGAGTCTCAGATATCAGGTCTATTGTTTTCTGGTATATACTGGATAATATTGATTCATTATTATTATGCTGACAGGAATTATTTACCTAAGAACAAGAAAGATAATCAAATATATTATTATTATTATTATTATTATTATTATGAAACTGAATAAAATTCGGTTAGAATACAAAGTGGAACTCAATGTATTAATCAGAGAGAAAGTGTTACTCAACAGTCATTAACAATGAGACTGATAGACAGACATTTTCTACACATACATTTTTAAATGTCTCGTATTATTTCTCTCACCCCACCTATAACCTTGTAATTCTATTGGTTGTTGACTGTTTTAATTTATCAATGCTATTAGTGTCCCCCAAGGTCATTTTAGGCATATATATATTTGTTGGAAAACAGATTCTGAACTGGTTTGCTGTTAAAGTTCCTTTTCGTTCATCCTTTCCATTCATTTGAATCTCTGAATAGAAAGAAAGCAGTGCCGATAAGTCTCCAGCCTCTCAGAGATGTGTTCCGTGATGCACCAAGTCTGTGAACCATATAGAGATAAATTACAACTTGGAAAACAATTTACGATGTGAAGAATAGTGATAGATGCTTCAGTATTAACGGTTTACTTAACTGTATGTAGTTTTAAAATCACAACTCTACAATATCGATAAAATAAGTGTTATCAAATTCACAACTCGAAGTAAGCAACAAGTTAGCTAAAGAAGCACCAAAGATAGGACTTCAGGTGAATATAGAGAAAACAGAGGTGATGAAGATTCCTGGGCAACACCACCAACAGCAACAACAACAAGAGACAACAATCACCATAAATGGGAGGAACCTGAAAGAAACAACCTCCTTTAACTACCTGGGAAGCATCGTTTCAAGTACAGGAGGACGGAACTGCTGAGGTTATCAAAGCAAGGATCGTGAGGTCAACAGCACTCAGCATGAAAAATAAGATCCGTATTTTCAAGTCCAATGTGAAGTCAGTCCTACTATATGGATCAGAGACTTGGCGCGTCACAAAGAGCACCTCAAAAAAACTACAGACCTTCATTAACAGCTATCTTCGCTCAAAACTCAAGATCAGATGGCCGGTCAGAAAACATCAGCAACAGGGGTCTCTGGGAGCAAACCAACCAGGAACCGATTGTGCAACAAATAAGCAGGAAGAAATGGAGGTGGATTGGAGGCCATACTCTGAGAAAACCATCAAGCGAGTGACATCACTCGACAGGCGATCGCCAGAGTGCAACCCTAATAGGAAGTGGCGAGTTGGTCATCAGTACGAGAGTGACATGGAGGAGGTCATGGGAAGAGGAGATGAAAGCATGTGGGCAGACTTGGAGCCAGGTGAAAACTTTAACAGAGAACCGAAGGCAATGGAGTCCCGCAGCTGAAGCCCTATGTTCTTCTAGGAATTAAAGCAAATAATAATATATAAGTTTCAGTTACATTTGTGAGGTCAGAATAGATACCAGGACACTTCCTATGTCTTTCGCTTAGTATGTTGTAGCATTAAAATTCTACACAAAAAACAAAATAAATAATGAAGGATAAAGAGCTCAACTTCTCAATGGCAGACTGGTAATCATTATGCACATAAAGTGAGTGAAAAAACAAACAGTAAGAGGTAATTTGGGTTAGACATAAAAAGCATAAGCAGATTAGGTTTGATATGGAAAAGAATAGTTGAAAAGGCGACAGCTGAAATAGCAAAAATAACGTATACAAAAACCACTTAGATAATAATTCCTTTCAAAACAAATAAAAAATTTGTTAGCCATCTCGACGGGTTGTTGTTAATTTGACATGATGTTTGGGCTTGTGTATCTCAGTGACGTAACGTCCAACCGTGTCAAAAAGGTCATTTGAGAAGCGGTTAAACTAAAAGGTGTTACCATCATAGTACAAGTCACTCAGACTACGTTATAGGGAAGTGTTTTAGGACGAAGTCATACAGATCGTGAATAGAGATCCAGCAGCAACAGTAAGGTATTCCACTCGGATAACCAGTAAGCCGCCTGTGTTACCTCTACTCTGGTAAGGGGGTTAAAAAAGCTCAACCCCCTAAAAATGTACATCAAGACTTACCTTGTGATGGTCCCTTCCAGTGATAAGAGGTCTTCAAACGGCAATAACTCCCAAAAACCACTTCGAACTGACTGTGTTTAACCAGGCCTCAAGAAAATGTCATGGTGTGGCCGATCGGGGAAGGAGTGACCACCCACAAATACTTCTATGAGCATCCAAAGCTCTTCTAATCCAATAGGTATGATATGGTCAGTAATATAGATTGGACATTGTATTTTAGGTAAGAAGGAAAAGTCAATCGATAAAAGCTGCATCGATTGTGGTAAGTAAGATATAAGTTACGCATGCCAGGTGAGCTCCCCCCCTGACAAGCGAGATCAGCAGAAGTAGACTTATGATGTGAAAGTGTTAAACCAAAAGCCTGGCATCAATCCAATGTGAAGTCTTTGACTGTTGTTTTGAGCTTGAGTAGGTGGTGATGTAGACCACCTGGTTGAAGCACTTGAGGTTTTGAGAATCGATGGTTGAGGACTATCCGTGATATGAAAAAAAATGGTTCTCACAATGGAGCACCAGTGCATTTCACTCTTCATGATATCGCAGATTTATTTAATTTGGCCACTTGAACTGTTGGACTTTTTATGCAAAATTCCATGTTGATAATTCAATTCAAGTTCAATAATTTAAAACAACATTCTAACCAGATATGAATAATTATATGATACTTATTATGAAGCCCTACCTACCTACTTACCTGATCACTTTGTACGTTCGATTTATCCATTGAAACATTATCATTCATTTCGTCTATACACCGGCCTGCTAACAGCCAACTCCATTTACGGCAAGTCTGCATTAATTGAGCGAATGGTGGAAGGAACAGTTCAGTAGTGTATTCATAGGTAAGATCCAAAGATGAAAGCATCTAATGACAAGAAGATAAAAAAGTTGTGGTGTCATTGATATAAATCAGAATCAGTGGAAGTAGAGTTCTAATCTCTGCAAGATGACCAGTGAGGCAGGCGATCAGCAGAAAACTCGGAACCAAAACTTTTCGGTGAATATTAGCACTCATGAAAGAAAGACATGTTTGCAAACTCGAAGGAACTGAAGCCACGCCCCCCCCCCCCGCCCTCTATTGAGGTTCACGATCAAGTCAACTACACACTACTACATTGAAAAACATCACTGGTGAACTATGGAACTGTAACTACTTACACGCCAGTTTACGCCATTTCTGGCGTAGACGTGATATCCAGCTATCGACCACAGGACGTGTGTACTGCTCAGAAGTTTGCTACGTTCTCCTTTATCGCTGTGAGAAATGACCATTGAAAGTGGAAGGAAAGGTTAGCTGTCTTTGATCGTAAGTGTCCGCGTTCTATCCCTCTTATTAAGTTGTATAATGTGGTCAGTAATACTGAGTCTAGGCATCAAGTGTTGGATAGGGAGGGCTCGTCAAGTAGCGAAGTTGTGCAGCTGCATTCATTGAGGCAGTGATGAAGAGTTACACATCAAGCCATCCCCCCTACTAGTAGAGTAATGTTAGGTGACCTAGGTTGAGGATGGAAGGAGGATAACGAGATACAAGTTAGGGTTAGGATTCAGTTTTAGGCACTTTTTCTGTGTTAATAAATCAACACCGTTAGTCAGTTATAAACAGCATTTGTTGTTAGTAATAGACACAATTTCTTTGTTATTGCCCCCAGTATCCACCTACACAAAATTTGATTGGCCACATCAAGGTCATTGGGTCAGTCATTCACATGATCTACTATCCTTTAACAATCTATATTCGGAAAAATAAAATGTCGGACTTCAATCAATATACAGTCAGTGTAGCGACTGTTTAATACAAGGGGATCAGTTAAAATCTAAATTTGTTGGCCTATTATGTTGATGGAGGCTGGAGGCAAATGACATTCAGGGGATTATCACAACTTTGTAAAGGGTTTTAAGACTAGATCATGAGTACATTACATCTAATAATATATTGACACAATGGAGATTTGCAGATTAAGGGGGGATGCCTTCAAAGTATAGTTCTGTTGTCTGCAATGAATAATTTTATTGGTAATTTACATGTCATGTTAGCATTTAACAGTGAAAGCTTCGTAATTAATCGATACAGCTCATAGAATACGACAGTACGAAAAACTTTTAATATGTGCTACTCAGCGATCACATAGACTGCTTATGCGGTTAGTAGAACTAAGTTACAGGATCTCATCATGAACTGACATCGGTTAGAGAACCATTGGGAAACCACCAGGAGTACTGGACAGCTGTTTTGTCAGCCTAGTTTGGGATTCATCAGCAGTACACACCGACTGATGTCCAAACCCACGACCTTCTGGTTACAAGGCTAGCGAGATCGTAGATGATTAAGCCACTGGGACCCAACCCAATGGCCAGCTCATGAATCCTAGATTCTGCCAATTCATGATATAGCGCGACTGGCACTAGCCAATGTCATCGCTGGTGCGAGTATTTGTCTTCATACTCGACCTGCTGTATCCCACTGGTCATGACTTCCCAAAAGAATCAAGGTAACTAACTACCTACCTACCTGAATAGGGCCAGTCACTAGTGAGCATCGGAACTAAGTTACCCGACATCGAGGTATGAGGCGCAAAATTACTTTATGAGGAGGTGTTAATACTACTCAGTTGCCCAAACTAAAATAGATGGAGCAAGACTTGAACATAATATCAATTAACTGAAAGTGGTAGTGCTTAAGGCGAATAAGGTGAGGAGAAGAAGTGCTCAACTGCTCCACTAGATGATAAACTTAAGTACTTTATTTTGGGATGGTATAAAAACGAACAATTCAAAAAAAATAATCAATGAAGTTACCTTTGTAACCATTGGTTTCAAAATTGGCAAAACATCAATTGTACAATATTCAAATAAAGTATTTGTAGCATTACAAGCTGATAGTAGAAATTGTTGAGTGTCATCTCTTCTTCCAGATGATAAACTGTTTGCATTTGATGAATTTGATGATATCGTTAAAACATTGACACGATGTAGATCTAGCGTTATATTGGAAACTAGATAATCTGCATTGTTTGTGATGAGTTCGTTTAAACTACAATTTGAAAAGATAAATATACAATACGTATATTTATCGATCTGTGATCAAAATTGCAATCCTAAAACCTAACAGATGAAAATCAATTTGATGCTCAGCAATGATCTGGAGTTCTAGTAAGTGGGGTTAGAACTGACAGGCTGTTGGATTCTATAGCTTTAGTTGAATCGTTAAAGATTTCGCCTCTAAATCTGAAGGTCCCGGGTTCGACCCCCAGTTGGGTCATACATGGGTGCATGTTGTTGAGAAATAGCAAACCGGTACGAAATAAATGTATAGTACGCTGTGGTTTTCAGTGGTTCTCTCTAACTGATGGCGTTTGGTGATCCACGTTGAAATGAATCGAACCTTATCACAAACCAACACTTGACGATTATCAAGTATTGATTTTTACAGATTTTGTCTGATTAGTTGGAGGAATTCATCAATAAGACCATTGAGCTTAATGGTCTACGAGCTCGCTACTTGTTACCAAAAGGCCATGGATTCGAACCTTACGGTGGGTGCGTACTTCTGAAGAGTCCCAAACTAGGACGAAACGGTTGGCTGTCCAGTACTCCCAGATGGTTTTCCAATGGTTCTCTAATCGTTTCTCTAATCCTCCAACTTGGCAAATAATCAAAATTTAACCACTTAGCCTAATTTGTTGAGAGGTAAAGTGAAATTTATGTAAATGAACACAACAACATAGGAAAGTTTTGTGAAAAAGAGAAACAACGCATACATGTACTTCCCTTTATAGCTTTAAGCAAGCACTAGTCAAGACTCTACTATAAAGCTAGGAAAATATGTTCTACAGAGAAAATGGATGAAGAATTTATGATTCTCGAAAAAAATGTTGAAAAACGACGATTACCCTCAGAGGTTTATTAACAACAAGTACGGAAGCTCTGAAGGCTCAAACATCAAACAAATTACGGTGGGGTAAAAGCCTGTCTTCATTCAACTCGATTTTAAAGGTGGAAATATTGCAGCAATAGTCAACAGATGATTGACTGCGTCACTAGCCACAGTCTATCCTGCAGCTGGCTTAGTTGGTTTCCATCTATCGGAAAACATACTCCTTGATGCAGTCAAAAGTCGACAGATACCCCAATCATGTTAACTTCAAGTGTTTATACAAATTTACGTGTATCTGCGGGAGCAGTTACATTGGGGGGACATGAAGAAGAAGGTACACCTCCGATTTTCTGCACATGTACCGAAAAGCCTACGTCTCCAACGGGGAACAAACGCTGACAACAGTGCCATTATCAGGCATTTTCTTCATACGGGACATGAGGTGGAAATCGCGAAATGCTTTAAAAATCATCAATAGACAATCAGTCATCTCTCAAGTTTACCTAAGCAATCTCCATCAAGTACCTGGGGACCGATTTATGTGTTCAGAAAGAAGCGGTTATCGGTCTTTCCTTACCCTGAATGGTAATTGGTTGTCTTCACCGTTTTTCTCTTTCATTTTATTACGTAATCTTTGGCTTTAACCTCACCCCACCCATTCTGATATAGTGTAATTTTGCCTGTCTCTTATTTCTATGATTTCAGCTGAACGCAGTATACTGTTACCCAATTTATCAGTTACTCATCACCTTACGCATCTCTCGTGTTTATTAATTGACTCCTTTGAACTCTCTGTGCAAAAACTATGTAAGCGTAATTTTCTGAGCACTGTTCACTAATCCCGGAGCCTCCTGTCAACTGACATTATGTAAAATTTACAAGGATGTTAAACCTATTCTGACAACAGTAAAGAATAGACACCAAAACCAAATGACATTGAATCAACCAATAAGACGGCTGAGCCTTACAGATGGATGGTGTTCATAATTTTCTCTGCAAGTTTCACTTACAGATATCTTAAAACCAATAATACGACTGGTCAGTCCTCCTAGGCACTACCATTTTATACACTCGACTGGAAGAGTTATCCGCAACTATCATCATTAGACAGTATTCACCATAAAATCAATCATACTTCTGAATTAGTAGATGCTATAATTGAAACTCATACAAATTCTATTGAAGGATTTTGAATGCATCTAAAAAAACGTAATATAATAGTAAATGGTGCCCGATATGATATGAGATATTGTGGTGAGAGCTGTCTGCTAGCCAAAATTGGTAGACAGCAATTTACGTCAATGTTTATGTCCTGAATAATGGTCATGAGAAAAAAACAAGAAAAAAGACACTAACTCAACAACCAATCACAGCAGACTTAGCGTGGGTGGATACAATTAGCGGATATACGGTCTGACTTTCAAAGAAATGATCTCAAAGAGATGACAGAATAGCCTTCAAGCAGGAAAACAACCAATCAGAAGACGTTACCTCTCTGTTAACAATAACGCTAATAATAATGTACATAAAAATACATAAATATCTCTTGAATTTCTCGATAAAGATAAAAATAAAAAACACCTCAGAAAACTACTATAATTATTTTTTAAACTATTTTATACATCTTCTTACTTTGAATATTTACAGTTAACTGCTACTTGATTTAAACAAACTCGCGCTGTCTGACCAATTAAGTCGTTACGTGGAAACAATGATACAGTTGGCAATAGACCAATACGTAAACATTCATTAAAGTGTTCATCTTCCAGATTATGCTTAGATGAAGAATTTGTTTTCATTGGTAAAAGATTTATCTGCAGATTACCAAGAAAATAAAACAGTTCAGGTTGGAATTTATGTTAACCAACACACACATTAAAACAGATTAAGAAATTGAATAAAAAAATACAGAAGGAAGATTCTCTACATCTTGTTAACGTCATCACTCAGGAGGGAAGACTATATAATCTGCATATTCTAAGTCAACCAGGCTTTCAAAGTCATTTACCGCATGCCAACTAATCTTTACTTCACTTTATGATTTAGCCTACTGCATACTGCTAAGGCTGGCTAATGGAATCAGCATTACAAAGCCTAATCTATGTATCCGAAAGAAGCTGGTTCAAACACTACTCTAACCTGGACCATCAAGATACTAATGATCCTTAATTGGTTGTGAAAATTTCCTTAATTTTATTTTGATATTCTATTTTCTACTACATTTGTATGCTGATTATAATTTAGGCATCTTTAGTGATCTGTAATTCCATTGACCTTACTTAACAAATCGGTAGTATTTAAAAAACACGAATATTGTTATTGAACAATATTCTAGAATATTCTATGTATCTAAAGATATATGTAATTGTACAGCCAGAAAAGAAAATTATCGAAAAGAATATTCTTCGCTCAATTTTATGTTTTTTCTAGATGTCTAAAAATACGGAGTTGAATTCACAAGTGAATACGCAGACAACAGAATATATATATACATATATCAGTGATAGATATGTCAATTCGTGTTTCACACAAGCATCGTTCATTGAATTCATCTCCGTTATTCAATATTCCCGCAGCTAGCACACATATTTATATCCTAATCCTTTATACTACTTATAAATCTCGAGAGTAGCACAAACCACAATTACACTTTTTCGTTTCTTCCCTTTCCGAGTCTTAGCGTCTGCTGCCAATTGAAGGCATATCCGTTCATAATTCCTCCTGCATATTTGTTGGGTAATATGTTCATGTATATATATACATATATATCTAATTATCTACATGTCATTTTACATGTCTGTTTGTACTTCTCTCACCCCACTTATTATTGATTTATTACCTGATTTTATCTCACCCTACTTATGACCTTCGGAATCCTATTGGTTGTTCACTGTCTTAGTTTATCAATGACATTGGTTATCCTCAAGGTCATTTTAAACATATATATACGCAAGCCCTGACAGCTTTCTTTGACTTGTTTTGAGACAGTGAAAGCTCTCCTACCAACGTCCAATCTTCTCTTCTGTCCTTTTGCGGCCAGACGGTAATATTATTACTATTGTCATTGTTGACGAGCGATTAAAATAGACTAGCCAGCGCATTAAAGTTAGTATTCGTTCTAATCTACTACGTCATAATTCCAGTTATAATGTGGCGAGAGCTGTCTGCAAGCCAAAATTCCATCAACGTTCACGTCCCGAATCATGGTCATGAGGAAGCAAACAATAACAAAGCTTAACCTTGAGAAAATTACCAGCCAATCACAACGGAGTTAAAGTATAGAAATATGATTCACAGATATATAACTTCATTTTCTGAGAAACGGCCTCAAAAGCAATAACAGAATAACCTTCAGCAAGGAAACAACCAATCAGAAGAGGTTGTTTAACCGCTAACAATAATACTAATAATAATGTACACAAAAATCTATAAAAACCTCTTGATTTTCTCAATAAACGGTCAAAAATAAAATAAATTAAGCGCAGCTTACCTGTGATACAGTACAAAACATTTCTAGTAACAAACATATGCATATCGAATTTATTTTAATATCTTTCAATTGATTTTTCTCTGTAGACTTTGGAATATCTTCATTCTTTACAGATTCTATAGCCGGCCATGATTTATACGTGGTGTTTTGTTTGGCGATATCCACATTGTTATTTTCAACAGTGTTGTCAGTATTTTCAGATAATAAATCAGTAGGCAGTTTTAATATCTCTGAATCGAAGTATAGGCTCATAAAGCTTCTACACAGAAACATATTAAACAAAAAGGAGTAAAGATGAGTAATGTTCATGAATGTTAAATAATAAGGAGTATAGGGGAAATCATCGAAGCACCACATGCGCCAAACAGCAGAGGCTATTGCGATTCGCCTCAAACAACCAGGGCTCTGTGTTCAAAAGAAGCAAGTTCAGCCCCTACTACTGCTTTGGCTGGCCTTCAGTAGAGACTATAAATTCATGAAGTTGCAATTTTTTTTCTGAAATTCAGCTTATTTTTATGTTGATGCTATTGAGCTGTAATCTATCAAAATTATTGATTCGATGTTATTTAAGCATTAATTTTGTTTATAACACTAATTCATTCATTCACTATAATATATATATATATATAACTGTAGAGCCTGATGGTGAAGGGGTTATCGAAAAGAGTACTCTTTGTTCAGTATCCATTCTTTTGAAAAATTTTAATAGGCATTTTAAATCAGAAAAACTAACAAACAAAATAAAGGCTATGTTGACAGGTTATGAGACTCAACCTTAGTTTTATTTATTTAAAAGACAATGAAGATATCAGGAGGTTAGTTACAGTATATATTGAGACGAAAATACAAGGAGAGGGAAAAACGGTATGAAAACATCTAGGGATAATTACCAACAGCATTCAAAGGAGAGTTCATCAATTACCTTATATCACCTTCAAAATGAGAAGAAAGAAGGTAACGTAACTGATTCCGACTGACAGCCATGTGTTGATAACGTCTGTCTTGAGTTACAGAGTCACATAACGTATCAGCCCCTATTAAGGGAGTCATGATGTAACCTTAATTATTCTTCATACAACATGTGCCATGTTATATTTGCTCACAATCTTTCCTCCTTATTTGTCTAGCCGCTGGAATTATATTCGTTGCACAGCAAGAGTAAACAATATAGATACCAAAGTCAGTCAGATGACCTTGATTTGACCAATTAGACAGCTCAGCATTACATATGGTCGTTGAAAATATCTCCTAGACTTGGTTTTTGATTTTTTTTCTGTGGAAAATGAGTTGGTAGGGAGGAATAAAACATGCATATGCGGTGGAGGGATAATGACTCTGAAAAAGTATTGCCGGGCTACTACTGATGGTTATACATTCAAATGCAACCACTTTATATGAGGAAGTCTGTATAAGTTGGTATGTCTAGAACCACTTTCTATGAGAATCTGGAGCCAGTTTTTGCAGCATATATGGTTTATTTTTATTACATATATATATCGTAGATACACTTCTATGTAAATTGAGTACCACTTCTCACCTAGAAGAATCTGATCGCCTGTTTCAGGGTCGTCTGTAGTTGGTGTCTATTCTTTACTGTTGCCCGTTGCACATATCGAAGCCCTCACAGTCAATGTATCGAGATGAAATCATCTACAGAAAGACGATCTGCATTATGTCCAAACACACGCCATCGGACTTGAGGACTACTAACGCGGTGACACCAGTGACTTCAAGCAATGCTTTGAGAAACAGTGATGATTTGACAATCAGATTTGTGGCACGGAGACGTACAGTTTAACAGGATTAGGATTAGAGCAAGACTAAACACATTAATCATTATAAACCCAACTTTTGGAGGCTATAGGTTGCCTAAGGTTGGCGAATTTGAGAGTTCTGGTGGTTTCAACTGTGACTCAGAAGCTGTCAGCTGGATGATGTGGGTGGTAACCAACTATTCATATCAATCAATCAATCGATCGATCGATCAGAAGTATATACCATCATGTAAAAGTTTCACCTATCAGACCACCTCCAGTACTCACAAGACTACCTAGATATGTGAAAGCTATGGTGATTCATATGCAATGGTGAGTTCAGACAGGGGACCCTGTCAAACTATCACCAGTACTTTACGCTTAAAAGGTGTAAAGCAGGAAAGAAAAAAGTCGTGTGTAAAGTTGTTCGGCAACAAATAATAAAAGGTATAAATTAAATAAACAAATTATCAAACTTACAGGCAAACGGTTTTACGTTCGCTTAGTGATATTTTATCTAAAGATAGAATGAAAAGTAAACGAAACGAAATCTCAGGTTTTAGAACAAAATAAAGGAGATATATGTATATGCATTTATATATGGCTAAAGTATACGTGGCGTATCCTAAAGTTTGTGGAAGCCCACTAAGCACCACTAACTACCAATGGAGTGCGACCGCACCAATGACCTTGAAACGCTCACTGAGCAAGTTAGTGAAACCTGGCAGATAATGCTGTCATCATCAATAAAATATGCTCATCGAAGTGTTATGCTATTCAATGAGATATCTGACAAGTTTCAGCTTAGGTTTGGGAAAGATTAAGTTACGCTTTAAGCCAAGGACAAGTTAGGGTTAGGTTAACCTAATAAAGGCGACATTAGGGTTGGTTCGAGTTAGATTACAGTTAGTTTAGGGATATTTTCACCTTAGAGTTAGGTTAAGCAAATATTAGGGATATTGTTAGGGTTGGAAGACCTAAATAATTACATACATAGAATGTGGTTAAATTACTCTGTTGATATAAGAATAGAACTTGTGCACTGTGGTAGAGTATAATTCCATTGTGGGTAAAATTTATTTTGATAAAGTTTCACAGTGTTATACAGTAATATTTACTGATGACCACGTTTCGAGCACAATTTATTGCTGAGTAAATATAACTGTATTACACTGAGACTTTATCAAAATAAATTTTACCCACAGTGGAATTATACTCTGTTGATACTCCAACCTAAAACTGAGAGTCATTTTTATCACATGTGAGAGGAAAATATCCTCTGTAACGCTTTTATACAGTTTCTATGCAATTGTTTCATAAATATATATGTCCCATACACAAAAATGCCTCCTTCACCTGATTGGTGCGTTCAAGGTCATTCGCTGTGATTGGTAGTTAGTGGTGCTTAAAGTTTAACTTTGCCTAAAACTTCATAAAGACAGAGACTAGAATTGTTCATAGCCATAAGCGAACTGTTAGCGACAGACGGTGTGTATCTATGATCTCTTTACAGTATTTTGACACCTAATATTTCAAAGCAACAGACAGCAAGTGTACAGAAGTTCACACAAGACTCTTCCGCAAGCACGATGACGTCTGTTGGCAAGAAAGTGTGAATGAGAGGGAAGCAACATCTGTAAACGACAACCGTTAGATATTACCTCAGACCATCCAAGCACTACTGGGTGGCCACAAACCTAGTGTAAAGAATTTTAAGATCCATAATATGTACCCAAAAAGACTGACTCTATAACTTGAAATGTATGCATAATTGATTCAATGGCTTAAACACTCAACAACCATGAAAAAAAACAACAGGGTTTCCAGGATCGAGTCCTGCTACACCTATTTCAGCCTGAGGAATTGGCTAGTATCATCTGCTCTCTCGTGCACTGATACATGAGAAAATAATAAATCCATAATTTTCGACCACCTCAATCCTTACACTTCACTAACAACGAATGAGTAACAACATATGGTCGGTCTATCCTAATCGAAACACACACTTATATAACTGTATCAAGTTATCTATCTATCGATCTATCTGTTTCATAATAATAAAGAAAGAACTCACCATTGATCATATAACCCGCAATACCATAGACAATAAGTAAAAGGCAAGAACTATGAAAAGAATGATCATTTGTATCCATAATATCACGACATGTATCCAGAAATAAGTCGATTGTTTCTCCTGTAAAAGGACATAACACAAAAAGACAATGAGATTTCACCGACTGACTGACTGACTGACTTCTACACGAAATTGCAACAGTTCAAGGTGTCACTTTCCGTGCAGTAAACAAGGTTACAAAACAAAGAAGAAAACAGGAACTCCATTATGGATAAGATTTTATTTTGATAAAATCACACAGTGTTGTACAGTAATATTAACTGATGACCACGTTTCGAGCACAAACTATTACCCCTCATAATCACACAACTTTTTTCCTTCATTTATACACATGTGTGGAATCGATTAGATATTGGAATAAAAATCAATATAGCATAATGTACATTCAGAAATAATAATATGAGTGTTATCAATCAAATACAATCAGATGGGAAATAAGACGAGTTTTTTTTTATATTCATAGTAAGTTACTTGTTAGAATGTAGTGATGTGTTTGAATTGAAATAGAATTTTAAGATAATTTATTATCCTCCTCTGATTTGACTGAATGGTGGTAATAATATCTTCCATATTTCTGGTATTTGCATTGAGTCACTTCTATTGCGCATGTGTTGGGTGTAGACTCAATGAACCAGCATTCAGCAATCAACCTATCTCTATCTCCACCTACATAGATTCCTTTACACCACCACCACCCTATTGTGTGTCAATGCATGAAGTGCAATTGCTGAGTTTTTTCCTAAATTACTTATCTTCTCGGGGTCAACTATTCTTACCTCAGCTAAATTCTTATGTTCTGACAATCTGACTACCCCCGACCTACTAGTCTGACCTATGTAGTTGACTCTACAGTCATTGCAGGGTATTTTGTAAATTATATTATTTTGTTTAATTGGGTCAACCAACAGGATCCTCTAACCTACAGAGCTTGTCCCTGAGTGAGTTTGTAGGTTTGAATGCCACTACTCTAATTCCTGCTTTATTGAGAATCCTACGTAGGGTCTCAGATGTCCCCTCCTTATATGGTATAACTGTAGATGACTTATATTCTCTCTTATTTATGTTATCACTACTAGTTTCACAATTATTTTTATTTTTATTTTGGCCTTTTTTGATCTTCCTAATGAATTTTATAGGATAGTTAGTTATTTAACACCAACCAGCTATTCTTCTATCTGTTTTATTTCGTCGTTTAGGTCTTTTCTTGTGCTACTGCTCGGTTTGTTAGACACTTAACTAAGCCTGCCTTAACAGTTAACGGATGAGACGAATTAAAGTCTAAATGTCTATTAGAATGCGTTGGTTTTTTATAAAAGGTAGTATGTAGTTTACCTTCTATTACTTGTATTTTACAATCTAACATAGCTAATTCTCCTTGTTCATTTTCCGATTCAAATGTGAATTTTATTCCCTCTACTAGTGAGTTTATATGTATCAAGAAGCTAGAGATATATTTTGTTTTTAACACTTTGAAAGTGTCATCCACATATGGTGGAGATATGTGAATGACACAACACACTGTGTGATTTATCAAAATAAAATCTTATCCATAATGCAGTTATGCTCTACCACAGTGCCCAAGTTTTATACTAATATCAAGAAAACAGGAATTCAAAACAATTATAATGAGTAGAAATACACGGTAGAAAGAATAGTAACACGAAAAAGTATGAGGGTAACGAAGAGTGGATGAGTCTACGCCACTCACTCAGAACGACTTTTGAGCCATATTGTAAAGTGAGAAGACGAAAGACTTGGTAAAGGAATGTTTATTTGCAATTTAGTATCTCCGTATAGCGAAGTTATGTACACCTAATCTTAAGCGCACCATTTGTGCACAGATCTTTCGTGTTGAGCTACTTCTGAACTTCCTTCCTGCTGTGTTTCTTTGTGTTCCTTTCACGTCTCCCATGTATCTATCTCCACAACGCTTTTGTATCATTTGCTTTCTTTGACTGACATCAAATCTATCTCCCTGATATTTTATGTTTCCTATACCGATAAACATCTCTATATACTACTGATAAATCTTATCAGTAGCACACACCACAATACCACCAAATGTCTCCAGACAATGGCTCTTAGCAAATACTTTGTTGGCATGATCGAAGCCATTCACAATATAGTTCACTCCCTGTAGTCTTTCATATTCTAGAAAACTTCACTATTTGGTACATCTATCTTTCTTCAGTGTAGTACCACTCGGTTTCAACTTGAATCAATCCACTTTCTATGCAAACTTTCACAATCCTACGATTTCAACCTAATCTGTGAGATTAATCTCGCATTATCCTGGATAACCAGATGTTTGCGTTCTATTTCTCCAGTCTTATTGAGTCACTCACTGAGCTGAACTCATTATTAATCTTACAATTTACTTAACTGTCTGTTTACGTAATAATTTTTACTTCTAACTATTACTATTTCTTCTTTTCACTCTCATTCTCTCCTCTCGAATGTCCTATTGCAATATGTATGAAGAAACTCTGATTTTCATTTTCCTTGTCTATTGTTTCTATGATTTAAGTTGAACTCAGTACATTGTTACCTAATTTATTAGTCACTCTGCATCTTACGCACCTCTCGTCTTCATTACGTAACTCCTTTACCATTGTCTGCATACATACATTCACTTGGTTTGAACTTGAATCCCCTGTGTAAGAACTCCATGAGCGTGATTTTCTGAGCACTATTCACTAATCCCAAAACCTCCTAACAACTGATATCATGTAAAATTTGCAAGTATGTTAAAACTTTTCTACACATAAACTAAATAATGTCTTCAGACTGTAAGCAAGCAGCTGATGAGAGGTCAACGAAATAAACAATGGTGGTACCATTTCATTCTGCACAAACCACCACTGTTGTTGTTCTTGCTTTATTCACATTAATATCACTTTTTGTTCAACAACTATGCCATTTGTGTTGAAATAATTTTAGAAGTATGTTATATATATTTCAGTATTTATGACAGTTTATGTCATTTTTTAGGCTGTTAGCAGCAGCTCAGGAAGTGCCATCAAATTTTTTAAAAAAAAACATGATATTCCAGTGTTGGTTGGCAGAGATTTGATTTAATTGGTTACAGGATTTCATTATGAACTGACATTGGTTAAGAGAACTGTTGGAAAACCCACCAGGGAGTGCTGGATAGCCAGCTGTTTCGTCAGCCTAGTTTGGGACTCTTCATCCGTATTCACCCACTGACATGGGTTCAAACCCACGCTTTTCTGGTTACAAGGCTAGTGAGCTCGTAAACGACTAAGCCACTGCTGTCCGCCGAACCAATGGTCTTTTAACCCTGCAAATATGTTCGTTCTCGTCTTGTTCAAACTAATTAAGGGAACGGAGTGTGTGATATTCTGATTCTTCTATTGTTCTTATTTTCTTCGATTCTAAGTGGGACATAGAACTTCAGC